GCAAAGCGCTTTGCCATGAAGCTGGAATAGTCATCCGTCTCTAGCTTCCTCTTTGGTGGGGCCCTTCTCTGCTTCTTTTTCTCTTCTAGCTCATCATCTTCACTAGAAATCTCCTCACTAGAAAACCAATAAGAACACTAAGTCCAATGTAAATAAACATTATTTAAACTGAAAATTAGACTTGAAAAAGTTTAAAAAGAATTAAAAAAAATTTTTTTAACTGGAAAGAAAAATGCTAGGCTCACATATAGAGTAATTTAGGCCTTACCTGTGCTGTCTACATTTTAAATAACACCAAAGATATGGGGATAGCTTTTTTTGTTTGAAAAGAATGTTTACAAGGTCGATCAAAAGCTCATGCAACTTTTCAAATATAAAAAGAACTAGTGTCAAAATATTTTTTAAAAGTAAGCAAACCATAAAAATAAATGAGGTTGTAAAAGTATTACTAGAAACATGTATGAACCTAGCCTGTACTATTACAGGAGGGTCTTTAAAAATTAAACACATAATTATATTTCTATGACCTTAATCCCCATATCAATAAGGGAAACATGCCTCTCTGTAACCAATTGCTCAGGAAAGATGAATAATATTAGTTGAACCAAATGAAGAGAAGCTGAATGTGAAGACAACTCAAAGAGGTAGGCAACAAAACCTGTACTAAACTGCAATATATGCCACTACCATGAGAATGCAATACAACCTCCAACTTCACAGCCAACTGCACTCACTGGATTACAACCCCAACACATAGCAGGTACTCAATAAATGAGCTTCCTTTTTGTTCTTCTAACTAGTTCAGCAGAAAAGAATGAAGCAAAGGATAACTCCAAAGGAGGAAAAAACAAGCAGATACCACATATACCAGGCTCAAACAAAGGGGGTAAGGGGAATCTTCACCGAATGTATTAATTTCAGAAAAGAAAATGGGTTCTTCTGCTGTTGTTTTCTGAAAATTTTCCACGCTTCAAAATAACGGCTTCTCCCCTCATTAAAAAGGAGATGGTTGTGACTAGTGATTCCATAGCAAAGGCACAAAGTGCTTCATAAACATTAATTAAGCATTAATATAAAAATGTGTTTTTATCTACTAACTTCAAAAGATCTAAGAAGAAGGTAAATCTTTTCCCTAAGCTCACAAAGATAATCAGGGACAACTAAATATAAAAATCCAAAACCTAAATTACAATTTATGTGTTACTCTGACCACCAGTTAAATATAAGAGGCTCTTTCTATTTTATTAAGTCTGACATCTGACTGGAAAGAACTCAGTTTTCTCTTTCATAAATGATGGGAAACTATCTAGATGAAAAGAAAACTAAGCAACTCCACAGTTCCATTTCCTCCTTACCTTTCTGGTTTGTGCTTTGTCCCATCTACTAGATATCTAGTGTCTGGGTACTGGAAAAGCAACTCATCCTGAAGATATACCAATGACCTCAACAATGCTTTAAGTGCCTTGTGACCTGGGAAATAGAGCACAGAGAAGTGACGATTATTTATCTACACTTCTCCAAAGTAGGCAATGCCTATAACTCATGACTCCTGAGCAGTTCTGGCTGGCAGGAGCAGAGGAGAATATGCAGGGTATGCAGGGACTAAAACCTCTCTGAAATACAGAAATCCCAAGTGGAAATAATGACAATGCCTACACCTCACAGGGTAGTTGTGAGGAACAAGCCAGACAACATGCGTAAGGTGCTTCATAAAGTGTCTGCAAATAGTAAAAGTTCAATGAATTATCAGTTCTTAAATTTATTGTGTGATAAACTCCTTTCCTGCCTGTCACCATAACCATTAATTTGTCCCTTGGGTGTTAAATTTCTTGGGTATCTTCCTACAGGTTGCCCACCAACCTGTAGGATTATCCCTCTATCAATCAGCTGCTTAAGCAATTTCTTTTCTTCTTAAAAGCACAACTGAATCCTGGGGTCCCACATCTCCCCCTGCCTTTGCCCCTCCCCCAGATCATCTCGTTTGCCTCTGGTCTGAGGAGCCACATCATTCACTCAATCTCTCAATACACATCCTTATGGAAAGGTCCTGTTCACATATGAAAACACAAGTTAATGATTTGCTATCTGTGGTACTGAACTGTATATTAAAAATTTGTACATTGAGAGTATGTTCTCACTTGGTTCTCCTCATAGCCAATAGGATGCATTTGTAATATAGCTGGTCGGGATTAAGTATATAATTTCTGGATAAAAACTTTCAGAATAAAAACTGGTCCTATGAGAACTGAACTCTTATCTTCTCTATCAGAAGAATCCTAATAAAGAGGCTAACTAGATACTGAAAGTATATGTTATAGCAAGAGACTTAATGAGAAAATAGAAAAGACACTCTCACTTGGAAGACAGTCCATGAAAACACAAGAAATATCATCTCATCCAAATTCTACATAAGTATTAACCACTGTTTTTACCTTCTTTTCTAGAAATGGCTACATCTTAAGAGACAGATCCTATGTTTTCCAAAGTGAAACCACAAATCAATTTTGCATTTGCAAAGTAGTTTTAAAAATTCCCTAAACTAAACCTGGAAAATATTAGGCTAAGTGAAATAAGCCAGTTGTAAATAGAAAAATATTATTATAATTCCACTCACATGAGGTAAATAAAATAGCCAAATTCACAGAGACAGAAAATAGAACAGCAGTTACCAGGGGCTGGGGAGAGGGGGAATGGGAAATTATTTTTTAATGGGTACGGAGTCTTAGTTTGGGATAATGAAAAAGTTCTGGAGATACATAGTGGTGATGGTTATACAATAATGTGAATGACACTGAACTGTACTCTTAAAATGGTAAGCTTTATGTCATGTATATGTTTTACCACAATTTTAAAAAAACACTTGAAAAAATCCCAAGATTAGGGTATAATAAATAATCCTACCATCTCAGTTCATCCCTGTACAGAAAAAAATCATCAATAATCCTTCAAAGAGAGCCTACTGAAAAAGAACAGAGCCTATTCAAAAACAATGGAAAATTATTCAGACTTAAAAAGGAAGAAAATTCTGACATTTGCAACAACATGGATGAAACTTGAGGACATTATGTTAAGTGAAATAAGCTAGTCACAAAAGGACAAATATGGTATGATTCCACTTATATGAGGTAATTAGTGTAGTCAAAATCTTAGAGACAGAAAGTAGAATGGTGGTTACCTGCGGCTAGAGGGAGGGGGCAATCTGGAATTGTTAATAGGTACAGAGTTTCATTTTGCAAGATGAAAAAATTTTGGAGACTGGCTGCACAACAATGTGAATAAACACCACTGAACTGTACACTTAAAAATGGATAAGATGGTAAATTTTAGGTTAAGTATCTTTTACCACAATAAAAAATAAAAAAGAACAGAAAGAGCAAAGTATCTGGTCCCTTACTTCCTGAAGGTACCCTGTGTCCTTGATCTAAAATATGAAATCAAGAACTACACAGGGAACAAGCTGCAAAGCAGTCTATAATGTTTATAGCTGCTTGTCCCCAACAAGCAAGTCATAATTTGACTCTAACACATAGTATAACCAAGAATTGTGAAAACATCCAACGAAAGACTACAACTTTTAAGGATCACTTTCAAGTACCTACACAAGCCCTTTTATTTTGCTCAAGTCAGTTTTTAAAAATCCATTGCTGATATATTAGACAGCATATCAATCCAACAAGAAAGCAGAGAGCCAATATCAGTAAATCAAAGTGTGCCTTTCTGTTAATACTCTCTCATATGTTCTCATTTTATCCACCCCTTCACCCAGTCAGAAAGTAGCCCTGAAGTATTTAGGCTCTATTCAGGGATAGCACCACCATGCATCAAAGTGTCAAGAGACCTACCAGAGATGAAATCTGCAATTCTGTGCTTCTAACCGAAAAAAAAAAAAAAAAGTTTATCAAAGTAAATGTCTCCCGTGGCCCAACATGTGGACAATTTCCTATAAAGAGATTTAGAAGACAAACCCAATGGTTGTTTCTTTGCAATACTAGGGCCATACTTCCTTCTAGATGGTATGTAAACCTAAGAGACAATGAGGCAATCCTTTGTTGGAGGGGGTAGGCCTTCTCAAAGCCACAGCTGACAAGAGTGAGGAAAGACTCTCCTGGAGGCTCAAATCTGACAGTGAATTCTTCTCAGCCAAAACAAACAAACAAAAAACCCTCTTTACTATTCATATAGAACTGAATTCTATTTGTTCAATTCTATGAATAATAAATAGAATAATCAACAGTTTCTAATCCACCTCTAATTTTTCTCTCAGTAATATTATAAAAATTAAAAGTTAAGAAAAGCAGCAAAGATGCATATACAAGTACTTTATTCTCTCTCCATCTTGGCACATGGCCACAAAACAAATGGAGACTGTCAAGTATATATATGTTTACTCTGCCGTACATGGTCCATTTCCAGAGGTCTTTCCCTTAACAGGAGATTAAGAAGGATATATGCCTCTCCAAATCACCAAGATTCAACCTAAGTATCTGGTCACCAGCTATAGGAATAATTTTGAGCAGAGAGTAAATGAAAGAGTTACTTTACAGAGGGTCAGAAGCCCTGTATTCTAACTGACACTATCACTAACTAGTCATGTTATGCTAAGTGGACCAATTTAATCTTTTTGAATCTCAATTTTCTCATTTATAAAATGTAGATAATCCTTTGCCTTCTGATCTCACAGAAATAAGGTGAAAAATAATAAATGTGTTAATTTATATTAAGGCATTTGGAAATTAAAAATGCTATAAAAGTAGAAGGCATATTACTATAAAAATCAGCATCTTTCACAAGGTAAAAATCTGTTAAGCTCTGCTTGTACTGATCTACAGCACTAGGACTGAACTAGTATTCACAGATCCCTATATGAGGTATTCATTTACATGCCACCCATATGCAAGCATTCTATGTATAAAATGTCACCAATCTAAAAACCATTTTCATCTGACAACTTTATTTTTTTCCCTGATTCATCTAGGCTGTCTGACATAAACAAAATTGTAGGCAGAGAATAAGTTTGGACACAGGCACACAGTTCATTAATTTGATTATAAACCAATAAGTAAAATTTCTGGCAATGGGATGAAAGGGAAATGGAAAAAGTGAATGCATAAAGTAAAATAAAGCTTACCTTATCAGTTTTTAAATATCTATATAGTTATTTTAAAATAAATATGCAAACATACAATTATTTATGTACAAGTACACTTAAACTCCCACATTCCTATTGCTCCAGATAAATACAATGAACTGGAATTTACAGATTAGAAGAGTATTTTTTTTTCTCTTTCAAAAGTAACTCTAGAACTAGAGCTAAACTATAGGTCAAAATGACACACAATAAATTGGCCTGAGAACAATACTTTTCATTCAAATCCACACAAGCCTGCCACTTGCACTAGTCATCCCCGGCAATTAATCCCCCAAGAAAGACGTTTGATTAAATCTTTTCAAGCAAATCCTTTGCTTTGCTTTTGTTAGTTCACTTCTTGTCAACATCTATTAAAATATGCCTTTAATTCTCCCACAATGTTAAAAAACACCGATTCCACTGTCTTCAACTTTAATCAACTGTATGGCCGGCATTTTTCATTTCATAATAATGTGCTGCTTGGAATTCAAGAGGCAGGCTCAGCATCAATCATCTGGTAAGAATTTTTCCACTGCAATAAATATGCAAATGAGGAGAGCCAGTCAGTCGTATTTCAGGCCCGACTTGCTAGTGTTTTAAAAAAGACACAAATTTATTAATTGCCGGTGGCCAGAGGAATCCTATTACTTTGGGCATTGATTACAAAGCTGTGTGAGTGATTATTGTGCAACTCGCGGGCTACCCAGGCATGAGGAAAAATTATTAAAGCAAGGCAGAGATTATCAACTCAGAATAACAATAAGCCTTAACATTTAGGCCCTAACTTCTTCAACAAAGAATTACGTGAAGGCTCCACTGTATCATAATTCCAAATTCTGTCAGTGTTACTGTTTGGGCTTGTTCTATATTCCCCAAGCAGAATAACGTTACCAGTAAGAAAAAGGACTGCAGTTTACAAATTCCTCAACACCAATCATCTGGATGAATCGCTATAATTTCCAATGTATGTCCAACTAGAATTTTTATATACCCAAGTATGTATGTATACACATATATAGGTATGTGTGTGTGTGTGTTTTCACAGATTTAGATAAATACACGTTCTATTATGAAGACTATAGTTTTAACTGTAATACTGTTAGGAGTTCTATCCCAGTGAACTGGTTAGTTCTGTGGACCAAAAGTAGAATTTTTTTAATGGTACAAAATAACCACAGGGATAACTTTTCAAAGCAGAGCATGGGGACTTAATAGTCTAAAATCATGAAGGCTAAGCTAAAAGCAGACTTGGGCTTTCACATCTCAGAGGGCACCACAGTAGAAGGTGTGCAATCTATGGAGGGGTCTATGGAGGAAACAGCTTGATAGGCTAATTCTGAAT